TGAGCTTCACATCACTTGTACCTTGTACCGCAGAGTTTGCAACGCAAATAAATGGGGCCAATCTTCAGTCGGATGTGAATGTGTAATCTAACATTTTCAGTAAGAATAATGGACAAAAGGAGTGCAAATCCAAATTCAATTTATTGAAATCTGAACCAAAAGTTAATCAAACATGTTTTAAATAAAAAAGCACATATGGACAGAAGGTGTAAACCTATTAAATGTATAAGTAAACACATTTAGTCAAATAAAGTGACAGACAAGGCCTGATCAGGTGGTATCAGCTATGCATGGGCTCCTCCATCAGGTCTGATCCTCCTCACAGAGGAAAGACCCTCAGTCCTCTCCAAACCAACAGACTGGACGTCCATCACACGGAGGTTTCTCCCTGAAGTCTCTGCAGCTCTCTGGACACCATGCTGTCTCAATCCGTCCACACTGAATATGAGAGGGGAAAATGAAAATAATAAATGCTTTAGACAATAAGAAATATAAAGTTGACTGTTGAGTTGCTCAGTTTTTTTAGATTGTCAATACTATTACTGTATAACTAATATCCCAGGTTAAGAGGCACCTTCAAATAAAGATTGGTCTTTAAATACATTTTGTCTTTTGTATTGTTTGTCTAAAGTCAAGGATCTAGAACTGGTACTTATAGTTTTAATGATACAGTCTGGTTATAATGCTGTTTGGAGGAGGCCTCACAGGTAAGAGCACTAACTAGCTACCATCACATGCACCTTAGCTTAACTTAAATGTATTAAACGTATAATTAAGTGATAGCAAAATATAAATAACTAATGTCATGCAAACATATTAATATTTGCTTGATTCCAGTGTTGCATTTAGCACATTGCATACAAACGTTAAGGGATTTTAAGATTCTGAAGTATTATGCTAAAAACTCAATAACTTAGATTATTATTTATAGTTTTGCTGAATAGTTTCATGTCCGCTTACCTTAGAAACGTAAAATGTGACGGCAGTGTGCTGATGGGGAAGCATGTTAGCTTAGCTTCTTAGCTTGAGCTAGCTCTGTTACTTCCCAGCTGGAGGCAGAAGGTCCCGCCTCGGCTACGCCTCTTTGCCCTTATTTGGAGCAGGCTGGAGCAGGCGGGAGTTAGACTCAGACGTCACTGTCGAGCCGTTAGTGGCCGACTCCGCCTACTAAGGGCTTCTCGGCAACTCTGCAGAATCCTATGGGTGACGTCACGGACCCTACGTCCATTTATATATACAGTCTATGGTCCTAGCGCTCTGTGCTCGGTCCCTAAAAACATTTTTGAAAATGATATTGTTGTTTTATAAAAAGCTTTACTCAATTACTTCTGTGGTTTGAAGGACCATTTATTTTAGTGTAATGTGTTTACCTTTTTGTAAGTTGTGTCCCATCTACCCATTTCTATTCTCCCTCTGTGTCTCTGTCCGTCAGTCCAATCCACATTTTCTTTCTTTTCTTGTCTTTTCAAAGAGAAACATACAGTAATCAACTAATATTTAAAGAGGACATAATATGCTAATTTGTAGATTAATATTTGTATTTGGTGTGTTTACTCTGTGACGTGTTTCCATTCTTTACAGTTTATTGCAGTTGCGAACACACTCAAATGACACATAAAGCACAATTATTTAATCTCACACTCAAAGAGCAAAACCTCAGCTCAAATCTCCAAAACTCTAAACACTTGGTCAACTCTGCACCCAATTTACAATTTAACTTGGCACTTTTTGCAAGACACTGCACACGGTTCTCTAAGTAAGACACACAAATCTGACATATTCAATAACACTGCCATTAAAAATGCTACAAACACGAACCAATTACAGTTTTTTTTAGTTGCTAACATGCTAAACTCCCACATAAAGCACAATTATTTAAACTTACACTCAAAGAGCAAAACCAGAGCTCAAATCTCCAAACACATTTTTAGCTCTGCACCTTATTTGCAATTCAACTTGCACACGGTTCTCTAAGTAAGACACAGAAATCTGACATATTCACTTGTTGCCATTTTCAAAACACTGACATTAAAGATGCTACACACACGAACCAAAAATACATATGCCAAATGACGGTAAACACCAAACTGCTTCATTGTTGACTCATCAACTAGGATGTAAGCTAGAAAAAGGCTTCATGTAAGAACTACACAAAACACATGGAAACGTCTAAAGCGAGGATGATTTTGTTCTTTTTATTGAAGCAAAATTTCACAATGTTAAGAAGAAATACTATTTTCCTTACATTTTCTTTTCGCAGATCCAGACATTTTCATTTTCACATACTTCATCATTCCAGCTGTTTTGGTAGTGGTTTATATTCACACAGTCTTCATTTCTCTTCTGATAATTGTTGGGTTCTCCCTCTGTGTCTCTGTCCGTCAGTCCAATCCACATTATATTTTTGTATTGTCTTGTGAAATCCTTGTTTTCAAAGACAAACATACAGTAATCAAATAATATTTAAAGAGGACATATTATTCAAACTTTCTGATTCATATTTGTATTTTGTGCGTCCACTGTGACATGTTCCCATTCTGCATACTTTGAGGAAAAATAAATACAAAAAACAGAAATATCACCACTTAGCTGGGTCTGGCCACAGCTCCTCATCAACCTGCAGAAGAAGCATCACCTATAGAGGCCTGACGGTCATACACCTTCAACCAATATGCTGCAAATAACTCTTCAAATGACTTCAATTCATCCTCCCTCTCTCTCTTCCTCTTGCTGCTATCCATTTATCCATTGTTGTTGTAAAAAGTTCTTACATGAAGCCTTTTTCTAGTGCTTACAAACTGATTGCTGAGTCACCAACAAAGCAGTTTGGTGTTTATGGTCATTTGGCATGTGTATTTGTTGATTGGTTCATGTGTGTAGCATTTTCAATGGCAGTGTTTTGAAAATGGCAAACAAGTGAACATGTCAGATTTCTGTGTCTTACTTGGAGAACTGTGTGCAGTGTTTTGCAAAAAGAATGCCAAGTTGAATTGCAAATTGGGTGCAGAGCTAAAAATGTGTTTAGATATTTGGAGATTTGAGCTCAGGTTTTGCTCTTTGAGTGTTAGATTAAATTATTGTGCTTTATGTCTAATTCTAGTGTGTTAGCAACTAAAAAAACTGTAAATGAAGTGTGTGCCATTTGGTGCAAAAGTGTTTATGTAGTTTTGGGTGCAGTGATTCATTTTGCAAGATATGAGGTGTTGTGCACTTTGGGTCTGTGATTTTGTGAATTGTGTTTAGTGTTTTGACAAAATGAGCGCTGTTGTCAAAAAATGTGTTTTAGCAATTGAAATAAACTGTAATACAGTATATGTTTAGTTCAGTTAGATATATTTGTGAAGAAACAAATTGTGTTTCCTCTTACAGTACAGCTTGTCATTTATTAGCTCTTCCTCTGCAGTCCCTTCTTGCTGCACAGGATTTAACTGGGAGATTATCATCATCAAACTTACCGAGGTAGATTCTCTTCATCTCGTCTCTCTCTTCAGTCAGGGAGTTTTGCTGTGAAACTGTCATTTTCAGTGGAGAGGTTACATACAACATTTGATGATGTAATCAACTGAAGAAATTATTCACTTTAAAACAAATTAACTGAGCTGGTTTTGATTAGAATTACAGTATTTCAAAGAATGTATTGTTCAATACAAAGAATTACAAATATGTACTCTGAACACACATGTTGAAAGGGATATTAATTAATTTTCCTCCAGGAAGGAAAACTCTACTTTGTCATTACTGATCATGTTAATGTTAATTAGGTAATTAATGATCACATTAGTTTGTTTACTTTGTTCATCAAAAAACAAGCAAGCCAATCAAAATCCATAAGCAATGGCCTCTAAAGTGAATGCAAAGCCTAATCGGCTCAATGCTAAGGTGTTTAAGAGCTGGTTTAAAAAACTCTGAAGTTGCTGTAAAGTTGTGTAAGTCTAAATCATAATCTGAGTTGATGCATATCTATGCATATTGATGCATTGTGTTATATTAATTATGTGATGTGTACTTTATTGCGGTGTTGTATTAAAAGCTATATATTTTAACTACACTATACCTGTAAAATGAAAATAAGCAACAACTCTCTGTCTGTATTTGTTTTATTACAAAGGGGTTTGTCCCAATCAAATGAATTACATTTAAATTGAACATCATGTTAACACATTTTTAAAACTGCATTATAACATAATACACACACTATTATTGTTATTTTGTTATTTTTGTAAACCTACATTTAACCAGGTAAGTCCTGTTGAGATCAGAACATCTCCTTTCAAGGTGAAACCTTAGTAGTTCACACTAAGGCATAGTTATATTATAGTTAATGACGGGTATGGAAAAGAAAGTTGACAGAAGCAGCCGCGCCGAGATTGCAAAGTGACTCGAACGCGGCCATGCACTTACATAAATATAAACATTATGCAACATTAACCAGACATATGCATATGATAATAAATACTATTATTTGCCGCCTAAAACTGCAAAACCACTCTTGTTCTTCCTGGTTTGAAGTCAAATGGTCTCTCTTCTTCCTTAATGTTCACAACTCGCTTGCTGTTACAACCTCTGCTGCAGCTTTGACGTATTGATTCTTCTGTACTTTGTGTAATTTGGACTTTTATTCACAATTCACACATTTATTTTTACGTCCAAATAAAATCATCATTATTGTTGTTTATCAGTGACACATAATGCAAAAGATCTGATTGACTATATTCTACCCTTATTTATTTGCACCTGAACTGGTTGTCTCTGTACTTATTAGTTTGACAATTTTTAAAAATATCACTTACAGTTTGACCACCTTCACAAACTCTGAATTCTTTTTTAAATGAAATAAAAATAGGAAAGCATCCATCCATACAAAATTGCACTTCCCTCTATACTTTGAGAACTGCTCTTCATCAACAAGACTTGGAGAAGAGCCAAGTCCTCTTGGTGAAAATAAATGTTGCAACATTAATTTCTCATATGCCTTACAAAAAAACACAACAATGGTGTGACCTGTTTGTCAAATGCAGCTCAGTCTATTTTATAGTGAGGGATTCATCGGAAAACTCAGACTTTGTTTTGAAAATAAAATAAAATCATTACATCTCTAAGACACAAAACTAGGACATGATTTCAAGTTGGCATGATTGAAATAAGAAAATCTAAAAGCAGGCAGCCAATATTATAATCTCAAAAGCAGAGAAAAGACACTTTTAGGAATTGCAATTACAGTTTAAAAAAAGTGAACATTAATCCTATATATGAGACATGACGTGACTCCAGATATCTACGTGAGAGTCCAACCCCTCGCCCACCTGGACCTCCACATTTGAATTTAGGCTGAAAATGAGAAATGCAACTTGTTCCTGTTTTTTTCATCATCGTTTTGTGGGACTAGATGTGGAGTTATGCCAATCTCTTCTCACATATCCATCGATTTGTATTATAACTGCAATGGCTATCTGTCCAGCTTATTCTTGCATCACTGTAATATATTTGTGCACAGTCTTCGTCCAGCTTCAAAGTTCCATTTGGCTCACCGGGGTACCAGTAGCTGAAACCCCCAAAGGAAAAATAATAATAATACATTTCAACCTGACATCAACTCAAATCAAAATGCTTTATTATTGATAGAGATAGAATAATAAATGTCTATCCTATGTCTGGTTTGTTATCTGACATGAAATAAGCTTTTAAAGGACATCACAACATGTAGTTGTGGTCAGAGAGGTTGGTAGGCTACTAATATACAAATCATTTAATGTGAAAATAACACAATTATGACATGAAGCTGCAGAGCGAGTGTCTGTCACAGTGCACCTTGACAATAGAAAAGTGAAATAATGAGTGAACCTTGTGGTCAGCGGAGTCCCATCGACCCACTTCCATCTGCCCTCTGTCTCTCGATCAGTGAGTCCAATCCACACCTTCATACGAAAACTTAATATGTAGTCCTTGTTGTGGAGAGAAAAACGCACAATCACAACCACTATATAAACCGAGACATGCTGTCAACCACTTCTGTGACACACAAACCACACACACACACACACACACACACACACACACACACACACACACACACACACACATACACATACACACACACACACACACACACACACACACACACACACACACACACACACACACACACACACACACACACCTCTTCTTCTCTGCTGTTGATAATCACCAGATCTGCTCCTTTTTGAAGACAGTCATCCCTACTCTCTTGCCAGTTTTTCTGGATAGGAGAAATGGTATAGAGACTACCGCTGAAGTACTTCCATCCTTGATAAGAATAGTGGAAAACAGAAAGAACGATAAAACCTTAATACATAAATTACCAGATGCTTAATCTACTATGTCAAGTGCCAAGGTGGTATCTACCGTATGACATAAAGGCCCACCGGCTGAACAATTGATTTCATTTTCATACTTACCCCCGGCTCTCAGAGTCCTCCCCAGATCGTCTCTTTCCTCAGACAGGTTTTTGTTAGTTGCCACCATTTCTGAAACAGAAATGCTATTGTGATGTTTGTTTCCTTTTAATACTGAATAAAAAGCTTTTAGGGAACTTTGCTGAAAGCTCTAATTTTGAGTGAGAAGTTATTATTTTCAAAAGAATCAGGTTAGTAGTAGTTTGATTTGTTAACTTTTGTTTAAATTTAGCATGAAAAAATGACTGTATTCCCTCTTACAGCTACAAAAGAGCTGAGGTGTTATCAATGACAAACCTGAAATGATTTCCCAGAGGGTCGATGAGCAAAGATACACCATTTATGAATTTTCTGACCACTTGGGGTTGTTCATATCGTGTTTTCTTTTTGTCACTTCAGTGTTCTGCCTGAGAAAGTACACCTTTATTTCTTTCATATACACCACCAATGTAGTATACCTTATACACCTTCCGATCAAAAACCTGATTATTGCAGTAGTTTCATCTTAATACTTACCAAGGTTGATTCTCTTCAACTTGTCAACTTGTCTCTCTCTGCACTTATTGTAAGTCGCTTTGGATAAAAGCGTCAGCTAAATGCAATGTAATGTAATGTCTTCAGTCAAGGAGTTTTGCAGTGAAACTGTCATTTTCCATTTTGCCTCCAGATCTAAAACAGAATTCCCATTGTATATTATGTTAATCTATCAATGATAATGTATGGATCCATGTTTCCTTTTCTTATTCCAACACCATATCATGTTTTCAGGAAATTCATTCTGCTAAACTGTCCTGTTGAATGGAGAGGCTGTCATTATTTTCAACAGAACCATATCAGTAATACAGGATATGTTTAGTTCAGTTACGTATATTTGTGAAGAAAATAAATATTGTGATCACCGTTATCAACAACAGCTGTATCATATCCTCTGTTTAAATGTGTAAGATAAGTAATTTAAATTTAAAACGTAAAAAAAATGAACTATCATTATCAACAGAATGTGAAGAGCTTACGATGTTGACGTAACTTCAAAAACATCTATATGTTGTTCTGCAGAGATAAGCATGCTAACTAGCCGCTGCCCGTCGGTCAGCATGCATGTTTCTTGATGTTCTGAGTTTGTATCTTTATGGTTTATTGCACCTATTGTAGGTTGCTTTGGATAAAAGCCTCAGATAAATAAAATAATATTTTGTTACCTAATGTGATATTCAGTACCGATTGGGTACGATATACCCCTTCAGATCAAACCCCTGATTATTGCAGTAGTTTTTGCACTACTAAATACTGGTAATAATTACATTAATTATGTGACCGTCTATGTTTCATGTTTCCTGTAGATATTTAATTGCTCTTTTTACTGCACTTTTTAAGTGTACAGTTTTACTATTATGCTGCTGTGTTTATTGTATTTTTGTAACTCTGGCACAACAATTTCCTTCGGGATTAATAAAGTCTTATCTTATCTTATCTTATCTTTCATCTCAATACTTACCAAGGTTGATTCTCTTCAACTTGTCTCGCTCTTCAGTCAGGGAGTTTTGCTCTGAAACTTCAATTTTAGTGAAGAGGTTACCAACAAAATCTGAGTATGTGTCCAAATAAACATATGATTGAGTGTAAACACTAAATGTCTGAGCTGGCTTTGTTGAAAATAAAGCACAAATTATAGTTCAGTAAAAAAAGAAGAAAAAAGAAACAAGTTCACGCTTTGAAAAGGGGAATTATTTCATTCCTTTCCCTGAGTCATATTAAAAATGTCATTTTGTATTTCTGATCCTATTGTATGTATACCCCGATGTACAGGGATACGTTTCTCAAAAGCAATCAGGGCAACTAGAGTTTGATACTCAAACCTGGGTGTTGACCATTTGCACCAGAAGTGAGAGGCACAAATTAAGAAGATTTTAAAAGAGCAAAACAGAGGGAAACATTGAGAGCAGCTTGTAGAAAATACAGGAGTCCAAAGCTCAAGTGTCTATTTCACTTCAACAATTGACTTTATCATTGTACCTACCATAGTCCTTCACAGTTCTCTTCAGGTCATCTCTCTCCTCAGTCAGGTTTTTGCCGCTGGCCTCCAGATCTAAAACAGAATTCCCAATGTCTATTATGTTCATCTATCAATGATAATGTATGGGTCTTTGTTTCCTTTTCTTAATCTAACACCATATCATGTTTTCAGGAAATTCATTCTGCTAAACAGTCCTGTTGAATGGACCAGATAAGTATTACGGTATATTGTATGTTTAGTTCAGTTAAGTATATTTGTGAAGAAAATAATATTGTGTTACAGCCACAAAACAAAGAGCCAAGGCGTTTTCAACAACATCTGTTTCATTTCCTCTTCTTAAATGTGTAAATAAGCCAGAATTTATATTTAAAACATAAACTAATGAACTATCATTATCAACAGAATGTGAAGAGCCTAAAGTGTTGACGTGTCTTCAAAGAGGTTTACGTGTTCCAGAGATTTCTACAGAAATTACGTGATTAGCATGCTAACTGACTAGCTGGTTGCCCGTCAGTTAGCATGCTGACTGATCTGCATGTTTCTTGATGTTCTGAGTTTGTATCTTTATGGTTTATTGCACTTATTGTATGTTGCTTTGGATAAAAGCCTCAGATAATAAAATATAATATATTGTAACCTAATGTGATATTTAGTACTGATTAAGTACGATATACCCCTTCAGATCAAACCCCTGATTATTGCAGAAGTCTCATCTCAATACTTACCAAGGTTGATTCTCTTCAACTCGTCTCGCTCTTCAGTCAGGGAGTTTTGCTCTGAAACTTAATTTTCAATTTTATTAAAGAGGTTACCAACAAAATGTGATTATGTGTCCAAATAAACATATGATTGAGTGTAAAAACTAAATGTCTGAGCTGGCTTTGTTGAAAATAAAGCACAAATTATAGTTCAGTAAAAAAAAAGAAAAAAAGAAAAGAAGTACACGCTTTGAAAAGGGTAATTGTTTCATTCCTTTCCCTGAGTCATATATTAAAATGTTTTTTTATTCTCTTCAACTTGTCTCTCTCCTCAGTCTGGGAGTTTTGCTGTGATACTGTCATTTTCAATTTTGCCTCCAGATCTAAAACAGAATTCCCATTGTATATTATAATCTATCAATGATAATGTATGGATCCATGTTTCCTTTTCTTATTCCAACACCATATCATGTTTTCAGGAAATTCTTTCTGCTAAACAGTCCTGGTGTATGGAGAGGCTGTCATTATTTTCAACAGAACCATATCAGTAATACAGGATATGTTTAGTTCAGTTATATATTTGTATATAACTGAACTAAGTTTATTTGTGAAGAAAAACATATTGTGTTCCCTCCTCCAGCCACTAAACAAAGAACCAAGGCATTGTCAACAACATATGTATAATTTCCTCTTCTTAAATGTGTAAGATAAGTAATGTAAATGTAACACATTAAAAAAATGAACTAACATTATCCGGATGTGAAGCGCTTACGGTGTGGACGTGACTTCAAAGACGTCTATTAGTTTTTTACAGAGATTAGCATCAGTCAGCATGCTCACTGATATGCAAGTTTCTTGATGTTTGTATCTTTATGGTTTATTGCACCTATTGTAGGTTGCTTCGGATAAAAGCCTCAGATAAATACAATATTATATATTGTTACCTAATGTGATATTTGGTACTGATTAAGTACGATTTACCCCTTCAGATCAAACCCCTGATTATTGCAGTAGTTTCATCTTAATACTTACCAAGGTTAATTCAAGGGCCGTTTCTAGCTTTGTGGGGGCCCTATGCAAGATGCTGTTTGTGGGCCCTAGTTTTTTAACTACAATGGGCGGATTCCGAAGCCTTTAAGATGATCTGATGCATCCATCTGTTACACTTTAAGAGGAAAACAGGCTAATTTCACGAAAATTAAGCAATTTAAACGTACAAAGAATTATATTAAAAAGGTAAACAATAAGGCTCCTCTACGTCAATAAGTGCAAGAGATGCAGCATTTTCTCAACAATGTATAATTTACATTTTTCATCTTCCTCAGACGTCACTCATTGGGTAACAGCTCAACGATGATTTTGACTTTATTCCCCCAAAAACACAAGCCACAGCTTTGCTATCATTGCAGTTTAATTGTGTTTATATCCTACATTTGATTTTTAAGCATATAATGCTTCACCGAACACAGGAGGGGGCTGAACCTGAACTTTCAGCTTGGGGACCCCCTAGTGGCCGCGGGGGCCCTATGCATCCGCACAGTCTGCCTATACTATAGGAAGAAACGACCCTTAATTCTCTTCATCTGGTCTCTCTCTTCAGTCAGGGAGTTTTGCTGTGAAACTGTTATTTTCAGTGGAGAGGTTACCAACTATGATAATTGGATCAACTGAAGAAAGTATTCACTTTAAAACAAATTAACCGAGCTGGTTTTGATTATAATTATTTCAGAGCAATTATTGTTCAATACAATGAATTAAAAATGCATTCACACATACTGTTGAAATGAATATTAATAACATTTCCCTGAGTTGTGTAAATAACTTTTTATATTTAAAATGTTAGGTCATATTGCACACCCTAATACACAGTGATTTTCTTTTTTCTAAAGCATTCAGAACAAGTGATCATCATATCTTGCACAAATTATAATTGAAACAGGGACGGTTATCACTTGCACTGGCTACAGAAGTGAGAGGCACAAATTAAGAAGACTTACTTAGGTAAATGATGAGAGCATCTTGTAGGATACACAGGAGTCCCAAAATCACAACAACCAGTCTGTACATTTTCATTCCTGTGTATAGAACCCAGAAACATGCACACACACGGAGGTTTATGGAGGCTGACTTGCACAAGCGGCTGTTTGAGAAACCTTACACTTTAGACTGAGATGTTGATTTTGTCTTTAATTTATCATGCAATATATATATATATGAAAAAAAAATAAAAAATGTAAACTTAAAGATCATAATATATATATACTGTATATATATATATATATATATATATATATATATGATGAACTTTACATTTAAAATTAATTTTAGAAAATAAGGTTATTGTAAACTAATCAGCTCCAAATTGTTTGTCGAGGATTTCTGTCTTACCAGGCGCTGCAGCAGGCACCTTGAAGTCTTCAACAGAGCTGCGGGATGCAGCTTTCCTGGCTGGAACATCTTCAATGTTTGCGTATATATTGGAGAGCTCAAGTTCTTCTTCAAGGGAAACCATCTCACCAGTTGAGCCTCTGCAGAGTGCTGATGGTGTTTGTCAAAGTGTCTTCTTTAAAGGGCACTGATCTTCCTTTATTTAATGATTCTCTCAGCATACACCTCTAACTCTCTCTCTCTCTCTCTCTTTCTCTCTCTTTCTCTTTCTCTCTCTCTCTCTCTCTCTCTCTCTCTCTCTCTCTCTCTCTCTCTCTCTCTCTCTCTCTCTCTCTCTCTCTCTGTCTTTCTCTTTCACACTCTCTTCTTCCTCATTTTCTATAATTTGCCTTTGTTCCTCAACTCAGTATTTTATGCTTTGACTGCTGCTCCATGTGATACCTGTGCAGATCTTTGGGTACCTGAAAAATATTTTTCCTCCAGGAAGGAGAACTCTACTTTGTCATTACTGATAATGTTAATGTTAATGAAGTAATTAATGATCCTATTAGTTTGTTTACTTTGTTCATCAAAAAACAAGCAAGACAATCCAAATCCATAAGCAATGGCCTCTAAAGTGAATGCAAAGCTTAATCGGCTCAATGCTAAGGTGTTTAAGAGCTGGTTTAAAAAGCCCTGAAGTTGCTATAAAGTTGTGTAAATCTAAATCATAATCTGTGTTGATGCATATCTATGCATATTGATGCATTGTGTTATATTAATTATGTGATGTGTACTTTATTGAGGTGTTGTATTAAAAGCTATATATTTTAACTACACTATACATGTTAAATGAAAATAAGCAACAACCCTCTGTGTAGCACATCAGATATAATAGTTAATGACGGGTATGGCAAAGGCCAGAAAGTTGATAGAGAAGCAGCCGCGCCGAGATTGCAAAGTGACTCGAACGCAGCCATGCAAATACATAAATATAAACGTCATGCAACATAAACCAGACATATGATGATAAATACTATTCTTCGTCGCCTAGAACTGCAAAACCACTCTTGTTCTTCCTGGTTTAAAGTCAAATGGTCTCTCTTCTTCCTTAAAGTGTACCTCTCATGCTATATTTGAATAATATAGTGTAGGACCATACTTATATAAGGCATATTTATACTTTTTTTTTTTCAAAATACCAAACAGATCATGCATTTTAGCCATGCCTCATTTTGCTCAATTTGACATTTTTTAGATCTGTTTTAGCAAGGGTTGATTCTGTGAGCAACAGCACCATCTAGAGGCCTGGCATATGTACTACAACGTCTCCAGCGCTTTCGAACGGCAATGCCGTGGTTGTCTCCTCCTGATTGGTGGAGTTGGCCCAATAGCCGTAGCGCCACTGTCCTGACGTCAGGACAGTGTTCAAATCTGGATCAGTTTTTATCAGATCCGTTGCAGCCCCTTTTTTAGAGATTTGGGTATGGAGGAAAATAGAGAGGGTTGTGTTTTCTGACACTTGGTGAGTTCCCTAGAACACCGGGGACACATATTCATGTATAAAAGACGTACAAAAGTGCATTTTGCATGATAGGTCTGTTATGTATGTGTCACATCAGGTGTGACTGTGCCTTTAAGATGGCACTGGGAGTTTGGGGATGTGTGAACCGGATACAGTTGGTTGTTGTTGTGTTGTCATGGCAGCGTGTGCAATAACGTGTTGAATAAACGGTCAACCTAAATGTCGTAGTCCATAGTCTAAATATATACAACATTGGCGACGAGGATTATGGATTCTCTACTCTCACCTCTCTCCCCGTTCCTCGCACTGCCGGGCGAACCGCCGATTCCGTGGGTTCGCTGGCTTGAGTCCTTCGAAACGTTCATAGTAGCCGCGGGGCTAGCTGAAGCTAACGACGACAGGAAGAAAGCCCTGCTGATACACACGCTGGGCAGCGAGGGACAGCGGATTTTTCGGACTCTCGGACCTGCTCCGAAATATGCGGACTGTGTTACACTGCTCACTGGACACTTTGCTGCTCCACAAAATGTTATGCTCCGGCGGATTGTTTTTCGGCAACGCCGGCAACAGGCGGGTGAGGCCGTCCACCATTACGTGGCTGATCTGAGGGGACTAGCCAGCCTCTGTAAATTCGGGGCGCTGGAAGATGAACTAATACGGGATCAGCTGGCTGAGCACACTAACAGCTCGAAGCTCAGAGAAAAGTTGCTAATGATGACAGACCAGCTCACAACAAGAGCAGTGGAGGTAGCTTTCCAGCTTGAGTCAGCAGCAGCCTTAGCATCACAGCTAGCTCCCTCCTCCAGTTCTTTTCCCCACAGACCCATGCTACTAACTCAAACGGTGGCGCTACCCATGGAGCCTCCCGGGGAGGTTTTCCCTGAGGACAACTTTGATGTGAACTTTGCAGCACGCCAGGGTACGGCAGCACGCCGGGCCTGAGGTAATTGTGGCTCATCATCGCACCAGAGTCGAGCTCCAAACTGCCCTGCCAAAGGACAGAGGTGTCAACGCTGTGGCAGACAGAACCATTTCGCACGAGTCTGTCGCTCTGTTCCTGCAACCGACAGCCCACCTCCACGTACGCCTGGGCCGCACGCACCGACGACCATCCACTCAGTGGCCGCCATCTCCCGACCGCTAAAGTGCTGCACGGTGGAGCTGGATGGGGTCTGCCTCCCGCTGCTGCTGG